ATAGAAAAAATAATTTAACTATAATATAAATATAAAAAGTAATTAAGTTATCTTGTTCATATGCGAAACTTTGTATTAAACTGTTCTTCCAGTCTGGTAGAAATATATAAGTTGTATAAAAATAGTATAAACAACTTCAAAGATTTATCATGTTTAAACTATTTGAAATGCAAGAATGAGGCTTGTTGTATAATAATCATTAACACTAAATAAATTTTTTTTCAAGTTTTTTTTTTCCGCAAGCAAGACTTTAATACATATAGCTGCAGTAGCACTAGTGCAGTATTAAAGAAAATGGCGACTTTCACAAATTCAGAAATAGCAGGTTGTGTGTTAAAATTTCATGAAAAATGTCCACAATACGATATTTCAGCAAAACGGAGCTCCATCTCACTATCTCAGATATTTTTTAAATGAAAACTTCTCACAGCAATGAATTGGCGGTAGTTGATACATTGCCTGACTACCCAGATCTTATACTAGTAGACTTCTGTATTTGGAGCTTTGTAAAAGACAAAATCTACGTGCTACTTATGAGCAGAATGTGCAACAGCTGCAATAAATAATAATAAACGTTCTTGTTTCTGTGGATAAGAACTAGAATTATGATGTGGTCGTATGACTGGCGGAAGCCACTTCGAAAATTTTTAGACATCTATAAAAACTTGAAATGCAAATAATTATACAACAAACCTCACTGCATAATCTAAAACATCTTTATTCTGCCATTTAAAAAGTGAAATAGTTATTAGATTTATATTTTGATATTTGAAATGTTAGTAAAATTTATTGTCCGTGTTAGTGTGAAGAACTTATCGTGTTTATTTAAATCACTGATAAATTTTTCACACAGACAAGCCTAAATAACTAAATTTTAATTTAAATTAATTAAAATACTTAAACAATATATTTCAATTAAATTAATTACCGGTATATATTTTTTTATTGAAGAAAATCATTTACTGATACATATAAAAAAATATTACTTCAAAATCTTTATACAGTAAATTGTTTCATTATTTTAATTCCTACTAACAGAGATTTATTCATATCTTTGGTTCTTAACCAACAGAAATAAACTATTTTTCTTATTTATTAATAAATAATAGCTCTGATAATATATCAAATATATTTTTATCTAACACATTTCATTATTGTTTTGGCTCAGCTAAACGTAGTCTGCTACCAAATGTAATTATTGATACGTGGTGTTAATTTCGAATTATATATTTTGTTAAATAGACCTAATAAATCATAATATCTTACTTACAAATTAATATAAAACTGATGGACCGTTATAACAGCATATTTATAGCTGATTAATCGTAAAAAAGAAGCTAAAAATATCTAAAGTTAATCGATTAATTTGAAAATATTGTACTGGGAAATTATAAGAAACTTAAAAACATGAATAGCGAGAACTGTAGATGAATGTAGAAGAATGCAGACAAATATGGCAAGAAATGTATTACTCGACGTTCAACACAGGGTAATACACAACAAATTGTAGGATTTTAGAAACGAAAGCAATAAGATTCTGGTGAAAAGGATAGATACAGCAATTGGACACAGGTGAAGAATGGATGGAAAGTGCTTACCAATACTAGGCAGACAGACCTGTCAGTGTGGAATATGTCTACCTGGAACTGTGATGCAGCACTCACGACGTCGTGGCAAGCTCGTCACCAAGTGACGTTTCTAGCTATCACCGCTAGCAATTGTGTTCGCCCTTAAGTTTGGGACACGTGTGAAAATCAGGACCAATGCATTTGAAACTTTTAAAATATATGTTGTATTTGAAACTGATATACATATACATGTCACTCGAAGTTCGAAAATGAACTTTCAATGCCATTGGAAATTCATTTTTGAGTTCATGGATCTACGTACTTATGTCGATAAATTTTAAAATATATCCCTAACAATTATATTGCTTTTCCACATTACATTAAAACGTATAAAAGTTCATTTAAACCATTGTATTAATTTTATTTCATACAAATAATCCACAAACAATCATCATATAATATATAATTAAAATTTTTAATAAAATTTTAAACTCAATACGTCAAATGTAGCTGAACATTTAATATTATTATAAATTATATTTTGTATTAAAAGAGGAAAATTTACGCAGATTAACTTAACAATAGCAAATGATTTTCATTAAATATCTGTTAATTTTATTTAATTTCAAGTTTTATAAAATGTTAGCGAAATCAAAATTGTCACAAATTCATGAAAAACATTAGAAAAAAAGTTAGCACTTGTTTCATTAAAATATAAAAATTTGTTTTAAAGAAAGTATAACGTCTGTACATATAACATATGATAAAGCATTTCCTAGAGTATAGCATTGAAAAAGCAATTTTTATATAAATTAAAACAAAAATAAATTAGGAAATTTTTTATAATATACAAAATTTTAGTAATATGTTTAAAAGTTACTTTTAATAGACCTAAAATGCACTTAATTTTTAATAATAAATATTGAATAATTAATATAAAATATATTTTTTACGTTGTTTTAATGCAATATATGAATTTGATTATTAAATTTATGAAAATTTTTAATATACATTAACAGAGTATAAATAACCAAATATATTAATACTGTAGTTCATTAATATAACCAAAAAGAGTCCTGTTTATACGAGTACATTACAAATTCATATATCTTTTTTGTAAATTGATGTAATAGAATCAATATACATAATCTACATTTAAAATATGCAATTAGGACATGCTCACTGCAGTTTTTCATACAGTAAATGACTGAAACAACATTTATTATACGAAATTTGGGGCCCTGTTATAACAAATAATATAGCCTTTCCTCCCCCAAATAATGACACAAGTAAAATGTGAGGCCCTAAACTACAGACTCATAAAGTGAGGCCCTAAGCACCATCTTGTTTAGCTTATGTAAACCCCGACCTTGAACAAATTGAATTTAAAATGCCTGATTTGCTATAAAAACTTTTTAAATAAGTTTGCTGTTTAATTCATATTTAGATATTCATTTTATAACGAATGATTTTACAAATAGACTCTAATTTAATTTAATCAAGTTTACAAAATAATACGGAGTATTTATGATTCATTTTACCCTATAGACTGGATAAATTAGAAGATTATATTATAAATTTGAAAATTATAAAAAAGTTATTAAAATTATAATTTACTCAGAAAGTTTACATCTTTTATAACATGATAACAAAGTCATTTACTTATATTTCAGATATAAATAAAATATATTGTATATCTAAAATATATTAATATATATTACAGACCCATATATTAATTTTTTATATTTATAGGCTACGTGAAACAATAAATGGAATATGTAATAAAATAAATTTATGCTTTTCTCACGAAAACAAAAAATTTTTTAATAATTTTGCTTTATTGTTAATTTTTTCTTTCTAATGAATAAATATCACACTTAAATGGTCTTAAAATTATCTTAAAGATATAATGTTAATGGTTTATTGTGGTATAGGAGCCTTAGACTATAACGGATATTTAACATTACAATAGAGATTACAAATTAGTTGGAAATAAAAACGATATTACTTTTGTACCTCCTCGATTCGTTTCCTCTTGCCCCGAATTACACCGAATTTCCGATCCGTGCATCGTCAAAATATTATATCTATCTTGTCCATGAAAAGCGTAACGAATAGGAAGTGCGTACAAGCTCAGGTGGCTTTCTAAGAAACGACCTGAAAACGTCTACGAGACTTGAACACAATTTACAAACGAAACTTTAGAAATTTATTGATAAAATACACATGAAAAAATCACGCTATACTATACGCTATAAACAGCAGATTTGAAAGAAATATCCTACTAGCCCTAAAACTGTAAAACAGTAATTTGGAAAAAATGTAAGAATTATATTAAAACATAAAAATGTAAAATTTAAATTTTTACATGATATTTTTAAAATAGAAGAAATCTACATTTTGTTTACTGACTAAATTTTCAGCTAATGAAACTTGGGACTCACACTTGTATTACATTATAACGGGATTAAGCTGTATATACATTTTAGTCGATTTAAAACATCCAAATAGTATAGAGGGCTATTTTGGATTATCCGTATTTTACAGTTTTCTGTGCAAACCTGTGCACTAATTAGCATGGATAATCGGGAGTTCGGTGTACTTGCTACTAATCGTAGGGTTTCTTTTGAAATCGATCATTACAAATAAATATTTACTCATAATAAGTTTAACAGAGTTATATTTTCATATGTTTTATTCAATTTGACAACATTAAAACAAAGTAATACATTAAAATTACATTGTTAAAAAATTAAAAGTTTAAGGTAAATTTTTGATTTACCATAAATATTGATAACTCCGACTGAATAATTTTCATATAAAATTTTATTTTCCATTTTTTTAACTTTATTGTTTTATTAATACTAGCACGTGAGAATAAAACATGTAAATGTACACTTCATACTTATATTCAAACTATGATCATTTAAGTTATTTTATTTTTATAAATTTACGTTATTTATTATATATTAACTTCTACTCTGATATAAAAATTTTTTGTGAAAATGATTAAACGTTAGAAGTTTCTATTTTCTTTACAAAACTGAAGTTGGCATGTTACAAAGAAATAAATCTTAGCCTGCAGCTATACACGACTAAAACCTTCTTTATTTCCACACTCGTTTTACATCCATTCCTACAACATCGGAAGGATTAAGGAGATTAAACGATGGTTTCCTATTGTGAATCGTATACAAATAAGTTCTATTTGTCGATTTTGTGAATGATCACTGACAAAAATCATTAAGTGTCGTAAAAATCTATTAATACACTACAGAAACTGGAGTTAGAGTCAGTTTCAATTAAATCAAAATTAGTAACTATACAATTATATTTTAATCTAATTATAAAACTCGAAAATTTCATCTTTAAATTATAAATTATGTAAAATTTATTTAAAATATTAAAAATTAATAGAAGAGAAAAAATTACCTCGTGTTTCGCGTACATTAAAGTTACTTCGTCTCCATCGTCTGAAATAGAATAAATAGGAAATTACTGTATTAAATTTAATATTATAATTTCAACTTTAATATTAAAATAACAAATATTAAAAATTTATAAGTAGTTAACGCTTGATTATCAAATTTAAAAATTAACTTATTAATTAATTAATCTGATAAATCGAATCGATTAAAGAGAAGTAACTTAAAGTGATCAAACTGTTTTGATCAATCATACAGAGAGAAATTTTGAAAATACGATAACAATAATAAAGAAAGAGTTTATAAATTTACAGTAGTATAAATCTAAGTTAGTCTAAATAAATAATTAAACTATTATATTTCTGCTACGACGATACAGTCGAAGTATATAACAGAAACATTGTTTTGTACAGTACATATAATATTTTACTATATAATATTAAATACATAATTATCAAATAACAAGATAACACTATATAAATCAAGCGAACATTAAATGCATAATAATACAATTGTGTGTTAATTTAATTTCAGTGCAACATCGTTTAACCAGATTAATAAATTGTTATAAATTACTACATAAATTATGACATAAAGTTTCAAAAATATCAGTAATTAATCGATGAAGGTGTTTATAAAATTCGATTTAAATTTATTTTTTAAATTTCATTGGAAATTCCGTATATTTTTCTTTTAATTCTGAAAAATTTTTATGAATATTTTCTCGAAATAACGCTGTACATGTATAAAAATAAAATATTTTTTCTATAAAAACAGAGTTAAAGCTTCAGTTGTATAAATTTTATAAAATCTTAAAGGGGTTCTGCTTAATATTTTCTAAAAAAAATTAATATTTCTGAATATTAATTAGTTTAAATTCTATGTAATTCATTTGTACATTTAATGAGTATTATATTTACTAAATAAGTTATTTAATAATTTTTTTCAGGAAAATTAAAAGTTTTGTATCGGAAAAATATGGAAAATAACCGTTTATATACCAGGAATTCGTTTTAAAATAAATTTAAATGACATTTTTAATGTGCTTCTTTGTCAACTAGTCTACTAACAATAGAAATTTATAAATGGCAATGGCGCACTATCCTATAGGCAAAAAGTGATGTTGCCTGGGGCCCCCATTAACTGGGGTCCCAAACCAATCTTTTATAAGAGAATATTTCCCTTAAAAAAACTCCCTCGAAGAAAAATGCCTGAAGTCAACACTGTACGTGGGGCCCCTAATTCACGAAGCTATAACGCACCACTGATAAACGGTAAAATTATTGTGATATCGTCAAATGACGGGCTGCAATTTTTTATCGAATTTTTAAATTTTTAAAATTTAAAATATATGCTCTGGATCTCAAATTAATTAATAGTGACTTGCTCCCTGTACATCATACTTTTCCCGATAACAACAGAGCATGCCGTTCATCTATGTAACTGTTCTGGAGAAACTCTTTGAACTAAAATCATGTTACTTTAGTTAATCTAGGCTTTCTGATCCCAAGCTTTCCATATCTGGTCTTGACTTTCATCTATCTAACCCTGTTCTCGAGATTAAAGAATGACAGACAGACATCCAGACGACCGACAGTGGAAATTTATATTTTTTCAAATTGCAGCTAAAAAATAAATAATTATTGTTGTTGTTATTATTATTAATAATAAAATAAAACATTATTCTTACGAATATTTATTGTTAGAAATGCGTTTTAAAATAATTACTTTTTAAAATTTAAAGCGCTTTAAGGAATTTCGTCTGATAATACAAGTGTGCGATATAACACTGTAATATAAAAAAAAAAAAATTCAGGAAAAGAAAAATATTCTCTCTTGATGATATGAAGAATGTTTGGAAAAGACGTGTGATCAATGGAAAACTTCCTCTTTGTAGCTCTTCGGAAATTCCTTGCTATTTGAATGAGGTTTTCACCTGCGACATAATCAATGAAAGCCAAACACACAAAAGCCATTTCATAGTTTCTGGTACAAGTTTAACAAAAATTCCTTCCTTATTTTAATCAATTTTTAAGAATTTTTTCCACTATTTTAAAATATTAAATATAAATATATATATTAAGGACGTTTATTATTAATTGCTTGGCGTAATTTATTAGTTAATAATATAAAAGAATGTTTTCGTTTTTACTTTTTGTGATGGTTAATTACTCTTAATATATNTGTGCCACTGCAATTATAAATTGTTCAGAAGTTATGTTTAGTAACAATAAATTATTTAAGTTAGCTGTTTTTAGAATTTAAAAGATCAGAATTTAAAAGGGCATATTTAAATGCGTATTTTGGACATTTAAAACGTAAATATAGCTAATTAGTGAATGGAAAACCGGAAATCACAGATAATCCAAAATAGCTCTCTAAACTATTTATTAAAAAAAAGAACACTATTAGGAGATTTTAAATGAACTACAGTATATATAAACGGCTCAACTTCGTTATAATGCAATGCAAGTGTGAATCCCAAGTGTCATGTATATTTAGTCAATAAACATAAAATGTAGATTGCTTCCATTTTTTTTTTTTAATTTTAGGTAGAAATTTAAATTTTACATTAATTCCAAATTACTATACTGTATTTCAATTTTAGAACTGGTAGGATTTTTTTTTCCAAATCAGCAATTTATAGCGTACTGTACAGTACAAGTGTAAATTTTTTGCGTATATTCTATCAAAAAACTGAATGTTGCTTACGATATTTTGTCATTTTACAGTAATTCTGATATTTTGACGATGCACGGATAATCAAAAGTTCGGTTTAATTAATTCTTTTAAAAATTAAATTGCACTGATTTTTTTTTAACAAATTAAACATTATTGTTTGATTTTTAAGAGAAACAATCATCAAATATTAAAAAATAAACCGAAAATTATTTTAATAATTTTATAAAGATTGTAACAATTATAAGTGTGCTACACAGAAAAAGAAATTTAAAGCATAAAAATAAAACTGGATAGAACCATATAATTAGATGAAACTTTATCTTTCTATGACAATAAATGAAGAAAATACTTCTTGAATTTATGAGGCAAAATCTTATTTCGAAAGGAACTCAATTTTTTGAAATAAAAGGAAGACAACTGTAAAATTCCTAGAATCTATGTGTGCGCGTAGATATTTTTATATTTTTAGTTTTTATTATATTTCTCTTGTATGGATTGTCTCGTAACCGTAAAATTTGATATATTTACAAATTTTAAGTTATTCTAACATTTAAGCACTATCATAATTCATCAATTCTACAGTTATAAATGTTTTATTAGCCTACATAAAATAATGTATTTGTTAGGTTACAAAAAAAGCACGCAGATGATTATGATACTGTATAATACGACATTTTGATTATTATTTATATAAATATTTAACTTGAAACTTTATTCTGCATATAAATATGGATAATTTATAAATTTTTACAGTTTTTATTTGCTAATTAGTATTTTTCTGAATGGAATTTACAATTTTATCATTAAATTTTACGTTTTAATGCTATCTTATTTTCATTTTAAACTAAATGTTCATAACTTTGCAACATTAGAAAGCATACAAAAATGTACAGTACATGCCTATTCTCAGCTAATAAATCTTCAATGTATTTCCTTCTTTTGTGTAAAAATTGTATTTAGAAATGACTAACATTTACTGTAAAATACAACATTAAAGTTAATGAAAATTAAGATAAATACATTTGTAGAAGTTTTCAAGAACCAAAATATGTACACACTTTTTTTAGATATTATTAGATTTCGTAAGTAGACTCTACAAATATTATTGCTTTAGAAAAATTACATTTTTCGTTTAAAATTTGCTGTATTATATTCCAAGTTATACACTACGGAAATTCTGTTCTTTTTAAAGATAAATGCAATTTTTAAATTGATTAATTATTATGAGCAATAGCAATTAATTCAATTGAAAATATGAATTAATAAGAAACTGATTTATCTATGATTCTAGAATTGATAGGATAAGGCAACTCAACACATGGAAGATCTGTCAACTGGTACTTTCTATGGTAAACTTGGCCCTATTTAGGTGTTAGACAAGAGAACAGCGACATACATGCGACCAGCTTTTCGGTCAGGCGCGAATCCGCGATCAATGCTCAGTGGTTTTATCCACTCAGCCACTTCTGAACAAAACTGGTTTATCATTCACAAAGAAAATGTTTTCAATCATATTTAAAAAGTCAACATTTTAAAATAAGAATACACAATTTAGAATGAAAAGTGAATAATTTCCGGCAAAAACGTCAAAAATACTTTAAAATATATACAGTATATGATAGGAATTTTTGTTCGGTTGACCCAAAACTTCATTAAAATTATTCCATTTTATTTTTATTTATTTTCTTTTCTTTAAAATGAATATTAAAAACTTTCTTTCATAAATCCTGTTAAAATTTTAAATAATATATAGGATTAAATACAAAAATAATATCATGATATTTTTAAAACAATGTTTTAAAGAGTGATATAGCATTTGTAGTAAAATGATATTATATACGATAAATTAAAAATAAAACAGCATTATTTTATAATATTTTAAAATTTGATCTATGTTAAACATTAAAATAAGTATAAATTTATTGGAATATATGTATTGTGGTTATTCAGCAGAAAAGTTTACAAATCATTTTATTTTTGAGTGTTTGTGTTAAATTTTTCTTTATTTTGGCAATATTTGCTTTCTGTATTTTTCCTTTTAATACAAATTCTAGAAATTTTAGTTGCGCCTGCAATAGTAATTCATATCTCGGCTGTTCCCAATAGATAACCAGAAACATTACTTTAATCTATGAATACGAAAAATAGACAAAAAAAAAAAGAAAAAAAAGCAATTAGAATAAAAACTAGATGTGTTTCCATTTGTTATATCATGCTTGAATCTGATGGCTTAAGCAAAAATATTAAAAATTAGATTAATATGAAACAGAAACTATCACTGTCTTCTGTAACATGTAAGTGAAAAATTTACATCTACAAATCATAAGTCCTACCTTCAAAATTCTAAAAACTTTTAGATATTCGAT